CAACAATGTAAATAAATTTGATTCACCATTAACCCTTTGGGCAATGTTCTCTACTAAATCATTATATGAATAGAGTTGACAAAATCACAATTCATTTGAAAACTAATGCTTGGGAAAAATATAGTCTTTATTAATGGCAAACCCAGAAGCACAAGAAGACAAAAGACTGTCAGAAGAGAATCTTCTGCATTTTTAGTGCTTCAGATTGCTAAAGCAGCTGAAGGACACACTGTTCCTTTACATTACTATTGAGAAGAGGCTGGGGAAAGTAAAACAGCCACATTTCTGTGGTAGCCAGGGAAACACAGAATGGCAGCAGCACAACCTACCTGCCTCTGCTATTGGAGTAAAAGGAAAAGAATGCAGGAGTGTAACCTCTACAGACCCTTTTTGAGCAGAGGGCTGCTGCCCCTTGACCTGCCACCCTGGGGAGGAGGGATCATCCTGCAGAGGCTCCCCTGCTGCTGCCTGATGTGCTCCTCACTTTAAAACTAAACTGCAATTAAAGTTACAAAGACAATTCACTTCAGAAGCATCCTAGACCTGAACACTGGCGAGGGCTTTGCCAGGATCTGTGTTTGTTTGGAAGCCTCAGGAAAGGAACCTGAAAGGAGCCTCTGCTGTAGCTTTGGCTCTTCCAGGACTTTTCAGGAATATCATGGGCACCTGGACAGTTTGAAGCTGTGGCTCCTCAGTACAGCTCCACTGCAGGAACAGTGATGGGCAGCACGGGGGTGTTGGGGCTGGGGCCAGCCAAGTGCTGCCAAACCTGAAGCAATCCCTATCCCTAAGCTCTCTCAGACTGATTTCTCTGTTCTCAGTGCATTAGCAGCAAGATCTGTAATCTTGAAGACGCTGAGAAGAGGCTCCTCTCCAAGAAAGAAAATAGAAATCTCAGCTATCTCTATTTGGGCAGCAATATCCAATTTATTCATCATGAGTTCTGTCTCTTCTGCCCAGTCTGTACTGCAAATAACCCACATTTGACTCTCTGTGCTAGTTACAGTTTCTAAAAATGCTACTTTCTCCTGGTCATATGGCTTCCTCTCACAGAATTCATAATGTATGAGTGAGTGTTGCTCCATATAAATATAGTGTACATCTGATATGCCTACAGATAATATCACAGCACAACTGAACTGTGATTAATCGTGGTACTAATCATCCACCTGTTTTCTTTCAATATAACTCTGGCACGTGCAATAAAAGGAGAGGGCCTGAGACAATGGCCACATCCCTGCAAGTATGAGGGAGATAAGACAGAAGATGGCTGTGGTTTTATTTTCTATACATTTAAATTGAGACTTAGTGGTGTCTGTGCATTTTGAAAATACTTTTCCTGAAATTCTTAGCACTTTGTATGAAGCAAAATATATTGAAAAATAAAGCAAATGGGAGGAAAAGGAAAGGGTGGTAAGAAAATGATTGCCAACTCAAACCCCAGCATAGTTTTTCCATAACCCACATTCTCCGCAGCCTCTTCTGCATATTTAAATCTCATCCTAGGTTTTATGGCTCCTTTGCCACGGCAAAGTGAGAGTTCTTAATCAGCTCTGGAAATCTGACAGCCGTCTTGCACCTAACCCAGAGGATCTCCTCAGAGATGGCAAAGCATGAAGCCAAGACATCATATACAGGCTGTTAATTTAACTTGACACGTTACTGACTGCATTAGAAAACCGTGTATCTGACATCTGCTCCATGCAGGATCTGCTCAATTCTTCACATTACCTCACTTCTTCAAAGCTACTGCAGGTACTGGGCCAGTTTGTCTGTGGAAAAGTAGCTTTATATTTGATACTTAAATCTACAGTACACGTTTTTTTCACATCAGTAACCAGTACATACATACATACATATATATATATACACACACACACATATATATGTTGTGTTTATAAGATTTTGTCATTTATTAGCGTTTCAAATGTAAACCCATCTTTTGCCAAGGAATAGACAGGTTTCTTCAAAATGTAAATGAAAGTGTTACAACATGTTGCCTGTCCTGTTAATACTTGATTTACAATCTGTGACAGGTGAGCATTTAGAAATGAGTTATTGGGATTGACTGGAAGACATATGGGAGAACTAAGCTTTCTCAGGGCACCATGTTTCAAAACAGAAAATTGTTTTTTGACTAAACAAATTGAAAAGGAAAAAAAAATATGTTTCCACAGAGAAACAGAAGGAAAAGCTGAGAGGAATCACCTGCTATTAAAAAACAGGCACCAGAGACCAATTATATTTTGGTTTTGAATTTGCATGGGCATGATCTACAGTTTCTGTGGGAAAGACTTCCTTTGCTCATCTCAGTAGAAAGGCTCCTCTCAGAACGTGTGCAGCAGCTCCTGCTGGAGCACCCACACAGCTGAACCAGCACAGCTGCTGGATCTGACTGCAGAGAAACAGAGCCCCATTCACTCTTAGCAGTCAGCAATATGCAGTTTGAAGATTCAAATTTGGAGTGTGATTTTGAGATGCACTTAAGCGATTTATGAATGCAGTTCCCACTGAGTGACTTTGGGGTTGAGCTCCTTACCACTGGAGGACAGTCACAACAATTTGGGATGCCTCAGTTGCAAATGGGATGCAGGTACTTAAATCCAAAACTGTGGTTCTGGGCATGAGCCAGCTACACCATAACCTCAAGCTGTGCTCATGCCCATCTAAAGTGACCTGAGTATAAATAACCCTGCTCATCTGAGTACGTGATGGGAGACGTGTAAACCTGAGCAGCACCCAGAAGCTTGGTGGGTTTCCACTGAGATTGTCCTCCTCAGCACCTGCACCAGACTACAAAAACACAGCAGCAGCCACCCTGGTTTCTTTCAAATCACAGCTTGAGGAGACTGTTGCTACATAAATTAGCCTTTAGACAAGGTACACAGCAATACACAGGCTAAGGCACATGGAAGCAAGTTTCCTTACTGCCAGTTGAGCTCCACATTGATAAGCTGCCATCAGGCTGACTTGTCTACAGATTAATTTTAATTCATTTCTGCATAGAAGCTGAGCTTTAGCTTGAAGTCTAGAAAGGGCTCCCTTGCCAAGGTAGTCTGCAGACTCCAGGGAAGCAAGAATTGTGGGTTTTAATCCTTTTGAGGCAAACAAGGACCTGACCTGGTTTATTCATGCTTTCCTGGCTGTGTATGTGTGATAATCACTGAGCCAAGGCAGAAAGGAGGGGCCACCAGCACATCCCTTCTCTTGCATGTTTGCAAATTTTTCTACTTGCTTTTAAAGAAGCTGGAGCATATCTGGAGGAAACAGTTCACACTGTTTATTCAGGGTGATGGGAAATGTCTCCTGCCTTGACTGAGGACATTGCTGAAGCCCCAGGGGAAAAAATCTGATTGTTTTCATTTTTTTCCTGTTAGCTATGTCTAAACAGCTTTCCACACAAGCTTCACCATGCTGCTTGCAGAAGTGTCTCAAGGATTTGTAACAGCACATGCAAAACCGTCTTCTTGAGATGGCAGAAGCGTGGGTTTCTGCAGGGCAGAAATTCAGAAGGGACCCGTGTGATCAGAGGCACTGAGGACTGTGGGTGAGACAGGACTCTCTACCTCCATTTTCCTCTCTCTGCAACCTTGTACATCTCTTTACAGCCAATTTCCTGTTGGGAGGAATCAGGACTTATCCCTGCAATCTATCTATCTAGCAGTGCTAGAGCACCCTGGCAGGGGAGGACAATGCTGGCCTTCATCCATCCCTTGGGATACAGCAATTGAGGCAAAGGCAGTGCCATCATGTGGGCCAACTGTCCTCCACTCCTGCCTGCCTGCCCTCAGGCTCTGAGGCACTTCAGCTCCCTTTTTTGTGATGAAGCCAGTGAGCCAGTAAGTGTTTACAGAAGCTGGAGTTCAGGCAGCTGTTCCCTCTGTAAGTCATGCAGAGAATCACCTCCATGGCAAAGGGAGCACTGGGAGGCACAGAGATGAAGTGTCCCTCTGAGACAGCTCAGAACACAGCAGTGCAATCTGCTGTTCTGCCATCCTTGGGGGCTATCTGGAGCTGCAGCATCATTTTGCCCAGCATGGATCTGGTCCATGTGCTGTTAACAACATTCCAGACACTGCTGAGGATGTGAAGGAATGCTCCATTGGCTCAAGGTGCTCTAGTGCCATTGCACATGATTTTCAAACTATGGGTTTGCCTTGACAAAAATGGCTAAGATGCCAAAAATCAGATGCCAAAAATGCAGATGGAGCCCCAAGGACTCAACTTTGCTGAAGGATGGTCGATCTTTAGCTCAAAAAAATGAGGCTTTTAACCCCAGGTCAGCACAAGCTTCCCTGAGCCAGCCTCCACTCCTCACTATGGTGTCTATTTAAACAAGGCATTGAAAAAGTTGGAGCTGGTCGCTCATCATGCTCAGGTTTTTATAAAGTCAACCAAATTGCAGATAACTTCACACTTGGGCATGGCCCAGAAAGCTACTCCTTGTCAAGAGTGGTGTTCTGTGGCCAGGTTTGGCCAGGTTCTTGTTCTCTGCACATGTAAGGCAGAACACAAACATGGTTTGTGACAGACTTTGAAGCACCCATGAGCTCAGCAGTGGCTTGAGTGTTGTCTACTGATGTGTTAAACTGTAGTAACTGGAGACAGACAAAACTTAGCTGCAGAATTAATTTGCCCCAGAGTAATTACTCACATGTATGTTAGCATATCAATTCTGTTCCAGAATAAAAATTTCAGAAGCATATAGAAAGCAGAAAGAGATGCAGTTCTACATTATTCATTATCTTTTTAATCAAGGGCTTAAACTTAAAAAAGGGTACATGTGTGATATACCCATCCAGACTCACTTTACTTTCAGCAAAATGGACTGAAAAACTGAAAATATGCCTCGTCTTCACAGAGAGAGCTCTTCTTTTATTGAGAACCAAAAGACAGAAATATTACATATTTTTCAAAAATAAAAGCTTCTATTCAAAGCCTGAAGAGACAGATCAATTCAAATATTTTCAGACAAAACCACAAAATCAAGGAAATTGAGAAATTCAAAATGAAAAGGTTTGAGATCCTTCATTAAGTATTTAATAGAGGTCTGAAATCCTTCATGAATTTTAGCAGAGGACATACTCTATCCCATCTTTAACAATCTTTGGGAAGGATACTGCACTCAAGAGCAATGTGATTTGTAAACACAGAAAAACTGAATTTCCCCTGTATCCTGCCTATTTTAGCTCAAATATTTTGTTTTAAGTCTTTAGATATACATTTTCCTCCATTTCAGTACATACTTTTATGTTGGTTTCATCCTCTGTATAAAGGCAGCACGTTTCAAAGCTTTGAAACAGCAATATCCAGTTATTGTCATCATCCTTCCCTCAGAACACGAGCAGCTTGGCTTTGGGGGAAGCTTTTTGTCCTTTGATGTTTCCTCAGTAAAAGCAATTTCAGCAGCCCTGCTCTGCCCTGGTGCACAGCAGCATTTCTGCTGCCGGGGCTGCGGACGCGGCCTCGCTCCTCCGGGTTCATTTGCTGGGAAGCAGGGCAAGCACGGCCAGCGCCCTCCTTCCCTAAGTGCATCCACGGCCACAACCATTATTTGCTCCAAGATTGCTTTTCTGTGCCCTGAAAGGCTCTGCAAATTCACGTAGGAGTAACAGCAATTTCAAGACAAGGTGTGCTCCGAGGCAATAAATGAGAACAAAGACCCGGGAGATCTAAAGGCTGGAGGACTCCATTTATTTCTTTTATCCATTGAATAACTGAATTATTAAATTAAAAGCAATGCTACATCAGCTTTACCAAGGTTGGGGAGTAAGTTCTGAACACCAAGACTGAGAGTTTTATTCTGCTTTTATGGAACCCATGTCTGTATATGAACCTCAGCCAATTGCAGTCAGAAACAAATACAGCCCTACTGTTATAACCAGTAAATGGCAGGAGGAAAAACAGGCATTAGACTTGTTCCCAAGATGAAGTAAAGGTTAGTTCAACTGAGTCTCCCCTTAGCTAGCTACAGCCTGCAGCAAATCAAATTTGAAAAATAAATTTGACCAACACTGAGAGTAAAACTAATAGATATTTCAAAGGAAAATGCTCATTTATGCTGTGTCCTTTGTTCACATGAAAATACAGTGTATTTGAGACTCCTTTGGCAAATCAAAAGGGAATTAGGAGGTTAAACCAGCAGCAGATAGGGTCAGCAAAACCCAACAACATCGGAAGCCTAGTAATTCCTCAAACCAGCGTTGCTGGTGGGGCAACGGATCTTGGGATCAGTGTCATGGTGAGCTATACCTACATACAATGTTCTACCTACACACAGTGAACTCAAACACTGCAAAATGTTATTCTCTGAAGAAATTTGCAAACAAGGGTGAAACAGACAGAGCCTCAGCACTTAAAGAGGTACATTTTTCAACAGAAGGCACACCAGGAGCAATTTGGTGGCTGAAGCAGGTGTAGTCCTGAGTACAAAGCAGGGCTTGGGACACTTGTAGCTGGCCTGCTCCTGGACAGCGGTCACAAGGCTCATGCCACATCAAGCCAGTTCTGCAAGAGATGACAAAGTGCAGTAATGCAGTAATTTATGTGGTTTTTAAGCATAAGGCTGTGGGAACATAATTAGGTAGTCTTCTATCAAATGAAATGAATAAAAACTATAAAACAAAATGATGAGGCACTAAATTTAGAAAAAAAATTCATTTGATTATCACATCAGAGCTGAGATATTTCAGATCATACTGTCAGCTTAATTGGCTACAATTTATGTAGATTTGATAAAACTATCTGAGCTGTTACTAACGTGGGAAGTCACACTTCATGTATTCCAAAGCAGTTAGCCTTTTCACTCTGATGTAGCACTTGAAAACCTTGTGCTGAACACATTTTGAGCTGTATAAGGTGGGAATGTCTGGAATTGCTTATTATTTTGTGTTTCTGGTGATTTCTGTCATTACAGTGTCTGATTGCTCCAGGCATACCTAATGCTGGCAGGACAGTTCCCAGGAACAACATTGCTCTCATCTTGCTCATACCTCCCTAACAGTGATCAGTATGATCTTGTTCCTGCTCTCCAGTTTCTAATGCCCACAGTTCCCTGCTTACAACTAGTTCTGCGTGGATTTATACGCATATGACTTGGGATAGGTGTCTTTCAAGTCACAGGACCTTCTCCTTGTTCTCCAAGCTCTCTGAACTTGGACCTGTTCACACAGCAAATAACTGAAGTTTCAGGGATTCCTGATATCCTGTTCTGAGATTTCCAAGAGGAGTACATTCCAGTGGTACCTGTTGTTGGATGCTGTAGTTCATGGGCTAACTCTTAACACATCTAGCAGAGATAAGCAAGAAAAAGTCTGCTGGCTGTATTTGCTCTTCACACTTCACTGATCCCTCAACATCTGGTATCTTCAGGAGGCCTCCTGCCTTTCTGAGCTTCTTTTGAGGAATGTCACCCCAGAAATTGCATCTCACCCAGGCAACTGAGTGTAAAGTTTATTTTTTATGAATATCTGTCATGGACAGCACCAATTAAAAGAGAGGGGTTATTTTATAAAGAGTCTAACAGATGTTCAGGACTAAGTAATCAACAGAATGACCTCAGGGAAGCAGTTATTAAATAGCAGTGACCTATGAAAATTTTCAACTTTCAAGCAAAACTCTTGGACCTTTCTTCCAGAAATGGTTCTCACTTGAGAACAGAGCAGAGATTGCTAGGATTGAAAATACCTTATTACTTTAAGGGCATTAGTGTTTCACAGGGAGAGGCTCAATGAAGACATTTCTCCTGGCTGTGTGTAGAGGCCTGTTCATCTCCACACGTCTGCATACTCTCTTATGTATGGTGTAGATAGAGCAGTAACATGCTCATCTTCTAAAAATTAGGAGAGACTTCTTCTCTCGTTTTTACTTTGTGCTTGTCTCTTGCAGTAATAATGATTTTTAAAAAAGCTCTGCTTGAATATACAGTTTGGAAATAAAAGACTTTTTTTTCATATTTTTTGTTTTGAAAAAATACAAGCATCTGTTCTTGTAGTTTGCTTTGAAGCAAAATGTTTTCTGATTCTTCAGTGTTTGTTTTGAAGTTATTAGTCAGTTTTCAAAATCACAAAGCATAATCTTTTCCTAACTAGTTTATGTAGAAGCATATGTGCTTTATAAGAATATGTCCTGTTCTTTACTTGGCAAAATTAACCTCCTTGCATATGCCTTCAAGCTTTCTTAGGCCTCTAGAAAGCAAACTCTCTCCAGTCTGTTCTCCCCTCTCTCTTCCACAATTCAGTTAGAGAGTGGGAAGGAAATCTCTCCTTGACTTGCAGAGGACTGATGCTCTGGGGCTTACCACAGCACTGTGCTGGGGCAGAGACTCAATTAAGGATGGACAGCTGCAGGCTGCACTAGAGAAAATTGTGCTGGTTTGCCGGGGTGGAGTTAATTTTCTTCACAGTGGCTGGTATGGGGCTAAATTTTGGATTTACGCTAACACAGGGCTGGTAATACAGAGATGTTTTTGTTATTGCTGAGCAGTTCTTACAGAGAGCCAAGGCTTTTTCTGCTTTTCCCACATCCAAGCTGGTGAGGGCCTGGGAGTGTGTGGAAGGTTGGGAGGAGACACAGCTGGGACAGGTGACCCCAATTGTCCAAAGGGATATTCCAGACTGTATGGCATCATGATCTGCCTATAGCAGAGGGAAGAAGGAGGAAGAGGAGATGTTTGGAGTGGTGGTGTTTGTCTTCACAAGTCACTGATATGTGCCATGAGGCCCTGCTCTCCTGGAGAAGACTGAACTCCTGCCTGCCCTTGGGAAGCAGTGAATTAATTCCTTGTTTTCCTTTGCTTGCTTGCATGACTTTTGCTTTACCTATTAAACTGTTTTTATCTCAGCCCATGTGTTTTCTCACTTTTACCCTTCCAATTCTCTTCCCAACACTGGTGGGAGAGTGAGTGCTGTGCCTGTGTGGTACCTGGTGGCTGGCTGGGGTTAAACCATGACAACTAAATTTTTTCTGATCACAAAAACTTCAATAAGTTTTTTGTTTTTTTTTTTTTGCTTGAGGAATAACATATTACAAAGGTTCCTCTGATACTAAATGATGTCCTGGACATTTTTTTCTCTTTGAAAAGAAACTTCCAGCTCTTCTGTTTTAATGTCTGAAAGCACATCTTAAGTAGACTCAAAAAACCTGGAACTTTCAATATGCTATTAAAAATCCTACAAGCCTTCAACTACCTAGTTTCTTAGGACAATTTTACAAGAAGAAGGGACCTGACAAAAATTGATGGCTGGCCATGAAATCCTTGAGTGCTGCTGGCCTGAAAGTTCTGAATCCAGAACAGCAGGATGATAGGAAACCATAGATAGAAGAAGACAAGAAGCACTTTGAAATTAACAGAGGCCACACAGTGAGTATGTTGGAGGATGTCCAGTCACTGGCACCACCAAGAAGAGCCTGGCTCTGTCCTCTTTGCACCCTGCCTTTATGCATTTATGCACACTGAGGAGATCCCCCCATGATCCCTCTGACTTTGGCAGGAGGGTCCTGAAGAAATTCTTCATGCACATCCTCCTTCTTCACCCCATAGTTCCCACTCCAGGACATTTTATTTCCTGACCTACCTCAGCATCCTCTGGATGCAGGATTCCCTTCTCTCACACAAGATTTGGCTGCTGGGACTCAGTCATATGAACACATTTTTCTAAAACTGCAGTGCTCTTTCAAGGGCTCACAGCATGTCAGAGTTCCTCTACTAGCAAAGCACTGTTGTGTTTCTGGAGAAAAAACCAATAACCTTGCTTGTAACTGTACTGCAGTTTAACTGTCCCCCTCTGATCCATATGAGCACAGGAATAAGATGCAAACACTAAACTGTGTGTCAGAGCAGGGACACCAGGAGAGGTAAATGGCTGCTGTTAACTGAGGGGCAGCTTAAGAGCAATATATAACAGGAAACTGTAATTAAATCTTTAGTGGGCAAAGTTATAATGTGCATTTTTACCCTAGGCTAATCAACAAATTTTTTGTGTAAATAATTAATAGCAACACCAAGGAGCATCTTGTGTGTATGGATATAAGACCTTTATTCCCTGAGGGACTTCCGTTAGAGGTTTTTTCCCTTCTTCTCCAAGTGATGCCAATCTCAGAGGCTGCTCTGCTGATAAAGATTTCTCATTTTATGTGGGGCAGTATTCTCTGCATAATGCAAAGGCTAAGCTGCCCTAGAAAGTTTTCCTAGATCTTCAGCCTTCAAAACACAGTTCCCTTGCTTCTGTAACCTGACAACAGAACAATCTTCTGCAATCAAACCACCCTCCCCAGTAGAGCTACAGGTAAAGACAACAATTTATCTGCAAGTACTGCATCAGACGGTGAGAGACCATATCATCAACATTGTGATGGGGACCCTGACAATTCCATTCTCCAAACACAACCAGAACACAGTGCTGGCAGTGCTGCCCTTATGTCCATGACAGACTCTTTTGTAACTTCAAGACAGTAAATTTCTCTTTTTGCCTTTTGAGAAGTTCTTCCACTAAGTCATCATCAAGAGGAAAGGGCTAGACCACTTTAGCTGAAGGTTTAGGTCCTCTGAAACCAATGTCCATAGACTCCATGGCCCTTCACCATAAAAAGATTGGTTACACAGCCCTCCACACCTCAGGACACAAAAGTTGAAGGATACAGAATGAAAAATAAACATGATTTGCATAAGTAACTGGCTGCCATTATCTATATTCCCAGGTGAAATGCCAGTTTGTGCTCAGGCCCATTTTCAAGTACAACCACCATACTAATTAGCACATGAGATATCACAACAGTCCGCAATAAATCTCAGCCACAGCAGGGTCCATTTGTCACAAACTAAATGTTTCCTACCATTACTTATTCAATAGGGAATATGTTTTTAGTGTATGATATTTTGCAACTATTTTATTTTGCATATGCTTCACTGCTGTGAATGTAGAAATGTCCAGGTGTGAAGGGAGCAGAAAAAAAAATTGTAGATGGAGAAAAGGGGAATGAATCATAACATTGTATATTAAAACTAGCTACATCTAACACATCATCTACAGGTGTGGAAGGAAAAAAATCTTTATTAAAGTAGGGTATGCTAATTAGCTAATTATAGATGATAGACCAGATCCCCATAAGGGATGACTACAGGAATATCTTAACTGAGGAGCACTTGATGACCTTCAGTGGATCCAGCTTCATGACACCTCCCTAATTACATTCCTCCCACAAACTGTTATACTCACAACTATGATCTTAGCAAGTCTATTCATGTTTCCTAATTTGGTGAAGAGCAAGACCAAAGATATCTAACAGAAGTTACTCTAAAGTGCAAATTATGTAGGAATGGGTTTGCAAATAATGAACCAACCTACTGCTTTGCAGGTTTCTTATTTTTGCTGCTGGGTTTGCATGCTAAACTGAGCAAGAAAACACGGATCAAAATTAAAACAAAATTAATCCTGTTGGCTTGCAATTTACTGAAACTAACCATGAAATATGACAATACAGGAGGTAAAGCTGGAAACAACTGCTGTGGTTGTAAAAGCTTTTATATTTGTGACATGTTAAAGTGTACTTTTGATATTTTTTATTGTATCATAGTATGGGATCACAAAATAATGGAAATTATCCAGAGTATTCAGAGCTATTCTAACTGTTTCAAGTAGGTGTTTCCTACTGAGTACCACAAGAAAGAAAAAAATAATATCAAAGGGAAATCCCTCAGTAGCAAATATCTGAGAAGATGATAGTACTGATGTAAGAGAGAATTAATCTCCAAACTGTGAAAACCAAACACCCTCTTCTATAAGTACACACTCTGCACAGGCATATTCTATTGACCAGTCAGTTCACCATTCTTTTGAGATCATCACATCCAAAGGGTGATCTCTAGCCCCCTCTTGTAGATGGAGCTACAAGTATCAGGCAGATGTGAGTGTGAACTTCTTGCAGACTGAGATAATCTTCTCTGGATCTGCATGATCAGTCATAAAACAGCTCTCTGACAATATCACATTTTATACAAGGCTGCAGACCACAACTTAAACACTGGATCTGATGAATGTCCTCTTACAGGACATTTAGTATCATTCAAGGCTACTGGATGTGGCATGTGATTAAGTTACAACTCAATTTTACGTGGAATTCATTAATGCACATGCTTAGTTCTGCTTAGTTCATCAACATCCAAACTCATAGGCTCCAGTGAGTACTGTACCTACAACACCTGTAGAAACTAAGTTTTCAGATATGACTTGTGACTGCACTACCCAAAATCTAGAAATTGGTATCACTGTCAGAACCTGATAACCAATACATCAAAAGAAGGACAGAGGCAAAATTACTTCATAATAACATCACTGCTTTCAAGATGCCCTTTACTTTGCTGACCCTTCTGTAGAAAACTTTAGAGTGAACATCTGAGCATGCCTTAGATGTTTCTGTCAGATTCTCAGTAAGGTAATTACTAAAAAACTTTTAAATGTTAAAAATAGCAATCATCTGAGAATAAATATGGAGCTAAATTTACATTGAAATATCTCTTACAGGAAAAAACCTCTTTAAAGCCTCACATTAAAAATTCATATTTCTCTGGGCAGTGCTTTAGTGAAATGACTAAAATGTTGCATTTACAAAATATTATTTTTTCCACCAAGTTTCCTGAAGAGAAAGACTCTGTTCCATCTTTAAAATATCAGGACCATTATGACACAGCAGGGTAAAAGCAAGAAAAGACTCAACACTCTTTCCTTCCAAATGGCGTATTTATGCTGTACATAAAAAATAAGTTAATGATGCAGTGTACACTGGGGTAATTCACTCAAATTATACACCATTTCTTTTAAGATTCTTGGTTCTTAGCACTTCTGCATTCCCAGAACGCCTTTGCATTGCTTTCTGTTTTCCTCTGCTCTTCAATTTATGTTTCTGCGCAGTAAATTCCAGATGTTTTTCTCCTGCTCAACTTCTCTGCCTCTCTTCAGGATAAAAAGGATTTATCAATCAGTATCCACAACTAACAATTCAGGTGAATATTATGTGACATGACTATCTTTTTCTTACTGTAGCCAGGGTGGATTTTTTTTTTGTATTAAAACTTCTCTGTACATCTGAGTTTTCATTCAAATTGCCTGATGCATCTTTAATGACTCAGGCTTTTCAAAGGAAATCAGAGGATAATTTAATGGACAGAAATTATCATTAATTTCTATAAGGTTCAGAATGTAGAATGACAGAGGTTTATGAGTCTTGATTGAAATCAAATATAAATTATTCTGATGTTGTCACTGAAGTGCTGAATATTTCCTTTCAAATAAAATGATCATAGAATCATATAGTGGTTTGGGCTGGAAGGGATCTTTAAAGGTCATCTAGTCCAACACCTCTGCAACAAGCAGAGTGTTTTTTTACTAGACCAGATTGCTCAGAGCCTCCTCCAGCCTGACCTTCAATGCTTATGGGGATGGGGAATTTACCATCTCTTTGGGCAACCTGGTTCAGTGTTTCACCACCCTCATTGTAAAAACTTCCTTATATCTAGTCTGAATCTAACGTCCTCAAGCTTAAAACCATTACTCATTATCCTATGACAACAATACCTACTAGAAATTCTGTCCTCATCTTTTTACAGCAAGTCCTTCAGTGCCACAAATAGCACTGAGTATGTCTGAGTGATCAAATACATGGAACCATTAGTGTGTCAACTTTGAATTACATAAATAAATTAATATCAAATAGTTAATGTTCCAAAGGAGCTTTTTAAAAATACTGACTTGCTTGTCCATCACTGCAATAAATTTATTTGCATTGTAAAACATTCACTTGTAGTTAGATCATAAAAATACAATTTCTATATTTTACAAAACAGGAACTTGTGCTTATGAGGCAACATGTTATTTTTAAGGTGGCTTCGATATTCCAAATACACTGAATACTTAATATGCTGAACAGACTACTTCAGGCTGGTTGATGGGTGCCATATATCATTGGATATAGTCTCCAACATGTTCTATATTTGAAATAAAAAAATTCCAACTATGACTTCTAATATATTTTCTTTGAATGATGGGGTGCAACTCCAGGTCCCCTGAAGCAATTGAGAGCCATCTTTTTACTTACAGAGGTTTCTGGATCAGCCTGCTTCTCCTAGAGCCATGCAGAGAACCTGTTTTTAACTCACCTGCTTCTTCCAGCTACTGTTCAGCTTTGGGGACATATTTCAGCTCACTCTTTATGTTCTGAATCTCTGACAAGTTGACAGCAGGACCTGGAAGTTTCTTAGCTCCTGGGAACAGCTTCTTCTCTTTCTCCTCCTCTGTTGAAGCAGGAACATTCTGCATGAAAGGACACCAGTGACCTTCCTGCTGCAATAGCAATCTCTTGCCCATGAGCATAGATCAGTGATTTGAAAAACATGAAATTATGTTTTTTATACTAAAGGCAACCCCATTGGAAAATGGGGTAGAGGCATGAAGAGATAGGTTATTTTGTAGGTTGCTGTCTAAAATGTCTAAAAACATTCTAAAAAGAATAGAAAATGCTCAGTGTAGAGGAATGAGGATTAGATGGGTAAGAATTTACAGTGCCAGGCAATTAGTAGAAAATAACTGACTAGAGAATCAAAAGCAGCTCCAAGTAATTCATATTTAAGATGACAAAAAAGTAGATTTTTTTTTTTTATAATGTTTACAATTATTTATTTATAATCTAATTCCTTTCAGAGTTTCACAGCTGCCAGACACTTGGAGAGGAACATCATCACACACTCCTGCAGCTCTGGGTAAGAGCTATGATAGTAGGTTATGGACTCCAAAGGCTCCATGCAAGATCACCATGAGCTGAAATTTAACTTTTCATAACCTCAGTTACAAGACCAGAAGGGTTTTTGTTGTTTTATGTTTGAATCAGGGTAGTGCTGCTTGGCTATTTTGGTGACACTGTAAAAGTGCCAGTTAAATCACAGCAATTACACAATAGTGAGCAACTCAGCTCATTTTCCAATGGATCACAGTATTTCAGCCCTTGGTACCTCCTCAGCTGTACTATTGCTTCTAGGTGAGTACAGAAGGTATTTTAGACCATTTCTACTCTAGACTGGGTAATGTTTTGAAGGGGTAGATTTCCAGACACAAGTTTACTGTTCCAGCCTGCTGTCTATCTTATAAAGCTGGCATACAGGAGGAATCAAGTACATTTACAGATTAATTCATAGTTTATTACAAATAACTTCATGATTAAATTATTTTTTCATTTTAGATTACTCTGTGAATGTCTTCCTGTAATGGGCTTTTTAGAGTTCAATCATTATTTAGATTTATTAGCCACCCTTTTTGAAAAGGTGTATTAACTGTCAACAGTCCATCCTTAATATTTAACTTAGTTTTTAAAATTCCTACATTACTTGTCAAATATTATTGGCCAGTAAACTCCTCAGGTTTTCTCTGTTGACTAACGGACTACATGCTAATCAGGAAGAAGACTTTGCAGTGTCAAGTAGCAAACAAACAAGGTATTGAGAGAAAACTGTCAATTTCTGGCATTGTCTTCCTATCTAATCTTTAAGGACTTTAAGATCACCAGATATAAAAACCCAGAAGTGATAACTACATATATTGGCTCAGTAGACTTGTATTATCTTCTCTCACATTTTAGCCAATACTATATTAATATGAGATAATAATAATAATAGTATTTTACTATTGTTTTTGCAGGATCATTTCAAATCCAAGCCAGTAATTCAGCACCAGGTACTGTATGTACTGCCTGATACCTGGTTTAATGATCTAACATCCTGAAACAGTAGTAAAGCACAGCAAGAGAATAAGTAAATTGATACAGAAGCTGTTTGGAAGGGTGCATAAAATTGTATCAGTAATCAAAGATGCCATGACCTTGTATTGTTTCCTTTGACAGTTTTCCTAGCTAATCTGAATAATCAGGGGAAACAAGCACTCCCTGAACCCTGTAGTATTAATACCATTCCTCTTGTAGAATAAGTGGTGCAAGCTTTGCCCACATTTTGGCGACTTTGTGCTCAGTAAATTGCTGTCAGTTTTCTCTTCCAGCCTCAGGTGTTGTTAAAATGGGAATGCTCTGACTGAAGAAGAGTTTTTTCCTGTAATTCCTGCCCTCCATTTCTTTTCATGTTAACATGTCTGCTCCACTGACCTTCAAAAATATACATTCCTATCTGACCCCACCACCCCTTTGAGTAAGATCCCTATTCCCCTCATCTCCTCATCAAGGCTTAAAAATACAGTGGAAAATGCACTGTTAGCAGTGATTATGCACTGTTAACAAAAGTTGTATTCATCTAAAGCTGCTCTGAAAAACCATGAGCTGTATGGCAAAACTTAACAAGATGAGAAAATTGAAATTAAAAGCTCCCTGGTAGCATTTTTATTCTATTCCTATAACAAGATCCGTTTCTGTAGTGTTTAATCACGTTGGTTGTTTGAATATTGACCATAAAACCTGTGCCAAGAACTTCCATAATGTCTGTTTCATATGGAGTATTCATGTAGCTGAGAAACAAAGCAACATTCAATTACCCAAACCAATGTAATTATCAGCACCAGTCATTTATTTTATTTCTTAAACACTACTAGAATTCACACATGCTATGTTAGTTTCTGCTTAATAACATGCACTCCTTCACCAGTTTAATTACTGTGGAGAGAATATGCTTTGATTTCTTTCCAAGGGAGAAAGCCACAATATATGTTCAAGGTCATTTTGTATGTCTGTTTTTTAAATCTTCTTAAGAGCCAAGTCAGCCTAGATTTGATTACTTCAGGAAATTTCTCTGTAAACAGAGCACTGTTTATATCAAAATATGCCAAAATTCAGAAAAAAAAAAAAAAATATCTGAGACAGAAAAGGAAGAATTGGCTCATACACAGCCTTTTCTGCCCTTGGCTGTGAGGAGCAGTGGGAGCTCTGGCCCAGAAGGATGAGTTCTCATGAGGGGGTTATGAATCTAAACTAAGTAAACTGACCAGGTAATCAGCACCCATCTTCTTTTATCTTGCTTGAGTATCTACCACTACCTTTTCTTGCACTGCTGGTGTTAGGGTCTCACTTATTATTGAAGTTAATGGTAAATAAGATGTTTTAATATAATTCAGAAATAACCTTTGTGATCAATATTAGTTAAGGTATAAATGGGATTTTATATTCAAGACTCAGTGTTAAACATTTCCTGTAAAAGACAAGCATGAAAACACAGAATTCAGTCTAAAACGGAGTATTTTCACCCCTGGGTAGGTAAATGGGTTTGGAATTTCTGTTTAATTCGGAAATGTCTTCATATTCAATTTCTTCCTGTTGATAAACCTTCCAAAAAGTGTTGTGTTTGAAAACCTGTTCCAATACTGTTAAGCTGTAACAATAAATCACACCACAGGGTGACAGGTAGCAGCAAAGTCTTCCAAAGCCTTGCTATAACTTTTCCTGTGGTATCTCATCAGCTCCCATCTAGACAAATGCTGCTGGTGAAATTCTGGCTTTCTCTCCTGACAGCAGATATCATCCTGCTGGGGAAGCAGAGCTACACACGTAGACATTTATATTCCTATAGGTGCTTTGGCACCAAAAGCAGAACTATTTATACACAAAGTGTTAGTAAGTGGCCATTTATTTCCATGAATATCAGTGTTCAACTGTGGTACCTAAGATTGGTATGCAGAGCTGTCAGGTCACTTTAAAGGCTTTTTTTTCTATTTTATGGGAGGGATTCTCCTCAGGAAAAAAAAAAATTCAAAAACCTTTTTTGCTTACCTCCTCCACTTCTTCAGGTGTAAATTCTTTTCTTTTATGAGGGTGGCCTGCACCAGGTCGAAATGCTCCCATTGGGATGTTAATATTAGCCTGTGAGAAGGAAATTGAGATGCACATAATAGTGACTGATAAATAAAGATCCAGCTGGCAAATGGCAAAACTCAAAAGGAGTGGGACAAGCATATAGACATTATCATGGTTTCCAAGCACTTATGCTTTCAATGCAACATCACACCACTCGATGTGTTCTCATCTCCATTTTAAAAAAAGTGAAAAAACAAACTAGAAAGCTTTTGAAGTTCTGCATTTTAGACTAATGCTTCCTGATTTCATTGGACATAAACAAATGAGTACTGGACACTAAAGTGTCTTTAGGCACCTGGGTCTGTTTCAGTTTGGTCAAACAGAAAGTGAGTGCCAAAAGCAACATTTAAGTGTAAAACATGCAAATCCTTCAATAACAACCAATCACTGAATGTGATTTTACCAACAAAATTTACTCACAGTTGCTACAAACTGAAAATACTTGAACCATTTCCAGCCCTGGGTTCTGCAAAGTCCCTCCAGAATGATACCCACACAACTGCGTCAATCTCATCTTTTATCTGGGGCAGAAAGCCAGTGGCCATAACATAATTAGGGCTGATATCTTAAATATTTTGGGGAATACAATGGTACAAAACACTGCTTAGGAAAGAGCAGCTGAAAAGTATCCATTTCCCAATGTAACTCAGCCAAGATTGTTTTAAAAGTCAAATGGCATGATCAACTAAATGCACAATTTATACTTATTCTTATCTCGTGATCTCAGAAGAGAAGCTGCTCCTAGGAAATGTCATCAAAATATCATGACTCCCACTGGTAAAACCAGGGGGTGAATCGGTAATGTTACGGAGCGGAAGCAGAAAACCTTCTAACAGCGAGCTCTGTTCCTGTCCTTTGCCATCTGACTGATCTGCACTAAATGAAGACAATCCCATCCTTCTGCTCAAGTTATGGTCTTGCAGATCATGCCCCACCTGGGCAACGACAGGAAAACAGCCCACAGTTTTTAGTAACAACTGTTCTGACAGCTGTAATCAAATGACGAGCAAATTAATGAATCCATCTGCCAGGAAGTTAATGCTTTTCCCTGTATTCTACTTATCTGTTTCCCATTATCTTATTTGTGCAAGACGATGCTGTAATTTCAGTGGGGCTGACAAACATCTGCAGGGTCACAGACAACCAGGTATTTGTTTCATAAAGCTTTTTCACTGGGTATTAGTTTAGATATTGTGAAACTTTTCACCTGCACTTTGTAAGTTCCCAGGAGACAGGGCATTTTCAGCCTCACAGTTCCTAACTCATTATTTAATTTATATGTGGAAAAAAACCCAGCTTTGCCATTTCTAATTTTAAGTAACTGCCCCACCAAGCTCTGGTATCTCCAGATAGCTTCGATTTTTGGAATGGGAAACTTCTCTGCAAATTACAGCTAGCATGGTCATACAAGTTTGCAGAGTTGGAACTTTAAGAAATATCTCTCCTCATGGTGCACATCCTGAACTTGGACATTCCTTCCCCTTGGAGGCAGCCAAAGCAGAAGCCAGCCTCCCAGGGAACACTACAGCCCTTGCAATTCCCACTGTAATTGACAGACCAACTGTGACTAAAAGTGGTTCAGAAAGCAAAAATGAACCACTAAGTCCTGGGCTGCTAATTAAATTCAATAAACCACTCTTTGGTCTGCTTCAGCACATTCCCAGTAATCTGTGTCACACAAAAGCACTTTGTACTTTTTTTATCTGCAGTAGGGACAGTCACGTTAGAGTTCAGGCAAGTATGAAGTCATGACATAAAAATATGGTAAAATGAGTATCCTTTTAGATATAATTTAAAACTGCCTGCATCTGATAACACATACTGTGAATTAAAATATTTCCTCTATGAAATGAAAATATAACATTTCCAAACAATTCCTGACCATAGGTACCAAAGTCCTGAGCTGTAAATGCCTCTTAATCCAATGCTGGTCATGTCTCACAGATGAGCAGTTGTGTAATGGGAGGGCCAAATTTTATACACAGCATAGTCTGCAAGGGCTTGTGCTGTGATCAGCACAAGTTCACAATTTTGTTTTAAAAATATGTTTTATGGCTTTTGTCACCTGTAAGCTGAGATGGAGATATGACCCTAGGGGATCTCCATCCAGTAAAATGCTAAATAGGAAGTTTTTGGTTCCAGACTCTGGAAATCCTAAATTATAATTGCTTTAGACAGGCTTTCTAGGTGGGATTGTTATGTTTAACCAAAAGAATTATGAAAACTACTGAGTTTGTCTCTTCCTTTGTTTGAACAGCCTACCATACTGTGTGTTATTGCAGTTTTTCATACAATGATACAAAGGTATGTGCACTGGTGTACTCTACCAGGGACCTTTTGAACAGACCAAAGGAAAAACACCTGTAAAAACGACATACTAATGTATTGCTGGTTTGACTCAAACCACTATTAGTCTTTCTGTTTAATAGAGAGAGGGTATTTAGGCTAGGTTACAACTGATAAAGCTGTGCATGAGTTAAGGACTGTTACAGGTAAGTCCTACACAGCATCACAGCCATTGCTGGCTGTCCAGATGGATGATTGAGTACTCTGGAAAGATACTTTTGTATAAATATATTTAATAAAAAAAAACAAACAGAGAGGGAGAAAGAGAGGGAAGGGAAGAAGGGAAGGGAAGGGAAGGGAAGGGAAGGGAAGGGAAACAGACAACAAAAACAAACAACAAAACCCTCAAAACCTCCTCTCCCTTACGTCTGGGGAATGCCAAGAGTGTTTAAAGCTAAAATAATTTTCAGCCAGAGCTGTTCACAGCCTTTTACACACTGAGAAGGGTAGGTCAGCAATTGTTTCCAGAAATTAAAGTACTTTGGTCCTCTGTTGCCCCAAACTACTCTTGGGAACCAGTTTCTGCCTTTAACTCTCACATCTGTATTTAGCAGCTATTGGGAAGTGAACATTTTTGTCTATATCTAGCACATTCAGAAAAAAAAGCCGTTTCAGACACAGAACACCATGAAACACTTCAGTTAGTGAGGTGCCATAACATTCCCATTGCTGCAGCATGATGTACATTCCCCAGGGCACGTCAGCCCTATTATACCAGCACACAATAGCAAAGGATCATAATATATGAATCACAATGTATAAAAGTAATGTGACATTTTGAGTCATAGTTCTTATGCTCAAAGCATAATAAGCATCAATTGAAGTGCAAGTCTCCCTACTAGAACCACCTTTGACACAATGCTTAATAGATATATTTTAAATTTTTGCTGTAATTTTTCTCACAATTCAAATTACCCTTGCAAAAATTAAAGTTTCTTAAAATATTAAACTTGGTGCTTAAATTTAATGTATTTTTTAAATGAACAACCTAGGAGCATTGTTTACATTTAGAAGTTGGAAGTCATCCTAGAAATAAAATGCAGCCTATCATTACATCTTGAAGAAAAAATGTAAACCAAAAAATTCTTTAAAAATGTTTGTATGTGTCTATGGAGTTTAAATGTAAAATGTAAATAAATACTTTTCAGCTATTAAATATCTATATTTTTTTCATTAATCCTACAAATATTTCTATAGTCACTGTAAAAGAGAGATGAAAATTTGAACTGAGTGAAATCAAAATGCTGGCAAAATGGCATTTTTTTCTAATTTCAACAGAATTATAGTAGTTTGCATGCCTATTTCAGTAGAATTGATGATAATGATAAAGAGAATCTGCATTTTCACAGTGCCTTGCATCTTCATTATGCTGCCTAACCCCTCAGAAATTAATCTTGATACTCCAATCCATTGCATTAGTATTATCACAAGAAAACAGAGATCAAAGAAGACTTCAGAAATTCCATTTTGTGTTTCCTAGGTAAGGAAACTTGAACTGAATAAAATTTTATTGGAAATTCATTTTGCAAAATACATGAGAATTCTGTAAGGTTCTTCAATATAGAAGACATTTTCACCTTTTGACAAGAACCAGTGATAACATGAACTAACACATTCTTCATGTTATTTCATAATGATTTCATAATGATGTTGGGATAATTCTCCAGCTGTTTCTTTTACAAGTATGCAACAGTCAGCTCCATCCTTGTAAGCATATACCATTGAAGAGATATGTGGCAGACAAGAATCTTTCAAATTAAAAGATCAACATTTCTCTCACTTTCCTTTGGCTTCTAAATAAAATGCTTCTTAAACAATTATTTGAAGCTGAGGGTTTTTCTCCTTAAGGAATGCAGACATGAAAAACTTCACAGTACCCATGCTATCTTTTTAGCCTATAAATCCCCCAGCATTATATTGGCTTTGTGGAATATCTAATGGTTGCAGGAATTATTTTTACTTAACCTAACAGTTATGCAGATGCATTACCATGTTTTGCTTAGATGATCCTCCAATAGGCATAACCTAACACTGCAAAGACCATGCAAACAAGTGATTAACAAACCTATCTGATCCAGTTTTTTTGTCAGCTCAGATCAAAAGATGATCTCCAGGTCACACTTTTTCAGTGCTTTCATATCTACTAAGCTTTTCACTTGAACAGAATAACTCCATCTAGCACTCCTATGGTGCTTTGTCTGAGTAAAATGCAGTCTGCCAAGCAATGGAGGTTGAGATTTATTATTTTATTATATTAAAAAGATAAATGCTATCTCTTACCTGAATGGCTTTGACATGTGATGCTGGTTGTTTTGACATTTTTACGACAGAGGCTTATCCCTGCAAGCAAAATTGGAAAGTGTTACAGGCTCTGACATTCTGATAGCTATGGAAGATAAGCTAGAACTTAACCCATGCTGCCTCTTGACAGGCATCCATTTCATCTGCCCAGCTCCTGTTTCCATCTCTGTTTCCAAGTTGCTTAGTTATTCCTTCTGATATCAGAGGGAGACAGAACACCTGAGCTTCACCAATTAATCTTTCATAGCCACAAATGAAGCTATCTCTTTCACATTAAAAACAATAATGAGTAGAGATAAGGAATCTCTCAAACCTTAAGAGCACTGTAAAATGAGTAAGAATTAAGGGAAGCTTTTGAGGATAAACAGTGTATGATTAGTCCTGTCACAGTATGTATGTGGGAATTATTAGAACTTTCAGTTTAAGCCTTCTCCCATATAAAACATAACATGTTAGAAAATATTGATAAATGCAGACATAACCATTTTCTGACTCACAAATCCTTGCAAACAATATTTTTTTCTATACAATTTTATGAAGGTGGAGAAATACGGACTGATACAGTATTAATATAGAATAGCAAAAGGAAATACACCAAAGTAAAAAGGAAGAAATTGTATTAGCAGGTTATTTGAAATACCATCTCAGCCTTTCATTCTCTCACTAAGAAGTTAGATTTTAACCAGACTATGCTTTCATCAAAGTCTTATTATTTAAATATTATAATATAAAGTAAGGTAGTAATTCTAAAAGCTGAGATATTAATTCACCAGAGAAGTCACTGATCACCACCAAACTACAGCACATTTCTGATACTGTATTTAATTTTAGATAGGAAGGGAAGTAATGAGAACAGAAATAGATGACATAGGAAAGAACAGTAGAAATACACTGAGAAATTAAGTGTGTCACAGACTTGGGTACCCCAAAGATTGTAACTGCCACATGAGGCAGTCCCCAAAAAAACATATAGATAAGTTGTACGCTGGCTTCAACCTGGAATATCAGCAATATCAGCTTGAAATTGTATTGCTGGGACTGACTAGAAGACTTCCTCCTGCATATTCTCACATCAGTTTTAAATCTGTGTATGATGCTGAGCAGAATGAAAAGTACAAATGACCTACCATTAGAGGTCTCCCTCTGGTCACATCTCAGCTGCAAAAAGTGCTGTCCAAACCAACACAGCATTCAGTCAGAGGACAATCATGTTCATAAATTGCTTTGGGTTTAAGTTGCTTCCACTAAATTAATAAATCAGAAAAAATCCCACTGTGCAAAATAAAACCAGCATTATTTTAATGAGTTTTATATTGTGGTTTTGTATATACAATCTTAAAATGAAAGGGAGTTTAAAAAACTTCAGAATTCACTTTAGGGGATGCAATCTCAGCCACTGACGTTCATGATAAAATTCAAACAGATTTCAAAGACTCAAAAAAAGATTTACTACACTCTCTCTCCTTTATTTTTGAAAATCTTTTTTAGGCATATAAATAACTGTTCTGTTGATCAGTGACTGTATTCCAAAATAAAACCAAAACAATCCCTCAACTGACTAGGAAGATAGGAGTCATAATACAGAATGTTTAATTAATTTTTTAATCAACTTCTCATCTTTCTAATCAGAATGAAAAATGGAAACAAAAGCACAGGAAAATAACATTAAACATTCTGAAACACAGTGGATCTACTTCCCAAACACTGTCACAAAGAAATTCTTGCTAAGATGTACTTTATCTTGTATGCCTGTGCATTGCAAAAACACCCAGACACACTGCTTGGGCCACTTAGAGATAAATGGCAAGGATTTACCCTGAAGCTCAGCTTTAAAACAAGCACAGCATCAGTGCTCCTCAGCGAGGTGCTCTGGGTTCACAAGCAGTCAGTGCTCGAAATTACTGCAATCAGACACCGGTTCCTAAAGACGGATGCATGATACAATTGTGTAGGACTGCTTTTGGAGGAGGTGATTTTCCTACCAGCCCGTGCTGTCCTCATTACCGACAGAGAAATCAGGACAACAGCACACTACTGAGTAAAAATAGATCTCTGGCTCTTTCCCCTTCCCTCCCTTCCCTGAATTTCCTTACAGAGGAATACTGACCATCAATCACAGGGAAATAAACCTTAGATTACAAAAGCATCCATTACAGAAGTGATTAGTTAACTTTTATAAATTTCTTTGTTCTTTCACCATGGGTCTCAGAGAGAGAGTCAAGAGTGCTGCACTGATTGTATTAAGTTATTTCTGGTATTCCAATCAGTTCTGCAAACTTGAAAAAATCCCACTTCACCCTCATTTCCACAGCAGGATTTCATGTCCCTGGCAGCCAGAGAAATGCAGACACGCAGCCTGTATTCCCCGGTGTCTTTTTGGCCTCCCCACACCTTACCTTTTACCTTTTATGGGCTGCATGCTGAGCCAAACTTAGAAAGCAATGGCAACGTTAGTTTCATTTGGAGCTGGTTTATGGCAGCCTTCCTTTGCAAATTCCCTCAATTTGCAGTGAAAGTACTCATGAGCACGACTACTTGTGAAATACAGGACTACTGCAGTGAAATAAATGAGTGTTTTGAAGCGAAACTTTGTAAAACAAAGGAACCTATCTTCTGTCTCGCTGCTAAAAATAATTTCTGACAGGGCTGCAGCAAGATAATAAGCTGATTTATTCAATTTGCTTTAAATACGATGAGATATCATAATGCCATCTTTTGTAATGCACACAAGAGATGTACAGTAGCACACAGACAACAGCAAGAGCCCTCCCCCTGCCCCAGCTGGAAGCTGCCCTCTCCCCCCACTGTATGCACGGCATCAAGCGCAACGGGCATTTTGGAGACAGAACTGCAGTGTATTATCTTATTAAAAGGCTTTGACAGGAACTACACAACTGTGAGACCCAGCCAGTAAAATGAAAGAAGAGAAACCCCTACTCTGCAGCTTTCAGCCTGTTACACGAAAACTTACTACAAGCTCTAGGCAAATGTGGTCACATTTTCCCTAATACATATACAGTAATCTTCTCTACAGTTGCCTGTGAAGCTTAGTGAGAGAAAGCTCTTTTACATCAAAACCATAATGTAATATTTCCCTAACTATAATAAATATATTATAATATATATGAAAACAATAACCATCTGCCTATGTACTACAATACTCAAACTCATACACACTTCTTATGAGTCATGAGGTATTCAAGTGACTTTTTGGTTTAAATCTTTAGATCCCCACAGACTATGAAGCAATAACAATCTGCTCTGAATACTCTGATACACTGCATGAGACATTAAAATAGGCAGAAACCCACTACTATTGTAGTAAACTCACAGCAATTACTAAAGAGTTTTCATGAGGGTCTTTCAAGATTTTAATTGACCCCTTCAAGATTAGCTAACTTATTTACTTATATAAAAAAAGTTCCAAACCGTCAAGTGAGTATGCACACCTCCTTTTGATGCTGAAAGAGGTACCTTCTTCTAACCAGCTGAGGTATTGCCTGTGACCCTTTTAATGTGTCTGAAATAGCTCCGATGCTTTCAGCCTGGACGGCACTGAGTGCTGCTCCAGGCTGGAGTGGGACTCAGCAGAGAAGCAAAGTGTAAAAGGGAATTCCTGTCATAGCTTCCAGTTGTTCTTCCTAAATATAGAGTTTGATTCACCCTGTAACTTAGTCCCCTGTGACACTTGACCATGGTAAAAGCAGGGCTCAACTGTCAAGCAGGAGGTGTTGAAGGAACACACCTTTAGGTCCTTTTCCTGCCCTCCCTCTCGCTGTCATTCCAGGCTTTTCCCAAGTGCCGGGTATACAGCGGTAGTAGGTAATAACACAGAACTCCTCCCATGGCATTTGGGGCAGTGTGTGGCTCCCTACGCCACACTGGAGAAGGAAATAATTATGGAGACGTAATTATGAAGAAGTCACCTCAGAGGAACTATCTAGGGGAGGTGAATGACACAGGAATGTGACCCTATTGCTGCTGCTTTGGGAGCAAACTCACACAGCAGCTGCCCTGGGGTGTCGGCAGAGCCCTTCCCCTGCAGGACAGCCATGCTCACAGGGGAGGGCTCCTGAGCATTCGAGGCCATAGCGACCAGCTGCTGAGCTTGCAAGCATGGGGGTGAAGAAAAGCCAAAGGAGGAGCATGTGTGTGTGTGTTTGTGTGTGTGTGAGAGAGTTGTTATAGCTCACAAGGGAAGTAAAACACTGCACAGTTGTGCTTGTGCTGGCTGGAGTATGTCTTAATGAGGGCCACTGATGGAGATATCACAATAAGTCATGTGTGGGGCATATCCTCAGGTTTCCAGTTGCAGAAGTGCAGATTCCTGGTCATTTGTGCATATTCACAAGAATGTATTTTCTACCTCACTCCTCTGCTGTACCTGACCCCTGCCACACCCACCCACAACAATAATGGTGACAAAAGCAGTGTCATTATGGAAACAACTGTCAAGGATCTCCATTGACTTTAACTCATTTGACCCTTTTAATTTCAAATATCTCAAAGAGGAAGGTGACCAAGCAGGCTGCTTCATTAAGTCTGTGACTCATTCTCTACTGCCCTCTTTCCCAAAAATGTCATCTGGTAGCTGATAAAGCTGATGAATTGCTCTGGGAGCTTGCTGACTATTTCCAGCCACCCCCTTCCCAAGCAGCCACAAGAAGCTGGACGACACAGAACTAGGCACATAACCAGGACGTGTGTTTGTGTAGTCAGGACTGATGGACGTACACAGCAATCAGCTCATTCCAAGGAGACCTCTTTTCCTCAGAAAGGCTGATTATGCCTGTTGCCAAAAATTTTGAGGAATGAGAGGGCTACTGCACTTGAAACCTGGTGGAGTTCCCAAGAGGGCTCAGAGAGCTGTTCTTTGGCTAGAATAGAGGAGTCTGCCGTCAGTCAAATGCCCTGCCCTCCAGGTGGTTGAGACCACATTAAAACAAAGCCAGAATCAGGTAAGTGACTTTACATACCTCCTTCTGAAGGTTCATATTTACAACAGAAGTACCAGAGGACAATGGAAGAGGCAATATATTTTTGTAACATGGTCCTGTACATTAAATTATTTCAGTTTAGCTTACAATAGTAATATTACAAACTAGCTCTTGAATACACAGTTCTTTCTTCCATGTGTCATTAATTAAGCAAACGTCGGCCATTGTTTAGATTTTGTAATCTCTTTACCTTGTAAACATGCCTAAGAAATATCAGCTCAACACTGCTCCCTTCAACAAATTTTCATAGCAGTAACAAGTAATTTAATAGTCTTAGTGATGTGTAAACAAGAAAAGGGTCTGTCACCTACCCAGCACCCACTAACTATCATACCTGAATTGTATTAAATTATGGGGATCAAAGGAGTGAAATTTTATCCTCAATACCAGAAAATGCAGATCTGAGTAGATTTTGAAGCATTATTTTGCTCTTAGAATTATTTTGCAGCTTATCATTGCTTTTGCATAACCTCTGGGATGCACAGCCTCATAACTTGCAGAGTCATCTGGTAAATACATGCAGCAGATGAATTAGTAAGTAAATAAGGAGGCATATGTGCATTTCAGATGATGGATTCAGTGTCTGGCAAGTTAGGGCCCTGTACATTGTCACACATGGCATAAAATTATTATGTCTCGTGTATAGAGATCCAAGATATAGTAGAAATGCATTTACTTGAAGTGTAAAACGCCAATATAGTTTAAAAATAGACTTTTGTGGCATTGCTAGAAGCTTGTCTAATTAATATGCTTTCTGGCACAACTTACTAGTTTTAAAAGTGAAGTTGATGGTTAACAGAAATGTGTATGTGTCTTACTTCTCCACTGAGATATTTCACTGCATAATGTCAGAATTGTTTTTTAAAGCTGTCACTACTTAATACATTTACGTAAATGTTTTGCTTTTTGAGAAACCTCATGAGCATAGATAGAACTTCCCTAAGTGTCCCAAAAGAATTTATTTTTCTGTTGTAGTCCACAAGGTTTTAGTATAATGTAAACAGTGTAATACGGTTGAAAATGCAAGTCCACACATAAGAAGTCACAACCTCAGCTCACTTGAAATAAGACTTCTTGGAAGTAAAAAGTTAAAAAATACATTTCTGGAGTTTTGCTTTATATTACCACACAGTAGTAAAGTATTATAGATCTTTAGCAATGGAAAACTTTGCTTTTCTGTCTCCATCTTAGCTCCATAAATTACAATTTATTATCAGGTAGAGAATAGTGGGTCCATGATATTAAGTATCCACGACATTGGCTAATTAATTTCTACCTTTATGTTAATTTCAATTTTTTTATGATTTTTTTTATGCAAACTAAAGTTGTAGTGTAACTAGTATAACTATTCTCTTCAGCCAACACACTGAAATTACTGGTTAAAATGGAAAAATAAGAAAAATAAATAAAATAAAAATAATATTTATAAATATAAAATTTATAAATAAATAAATTTTAAAAATAAGATAAATCTGCTATCAGACAGATTTATCAGAAGATCCTGAAAAAAACCCCAATCCATTCTTTCACCAATCCAGGCACCATCCATATTTTATCTCACTCAGGTTTTATTTTTGGGCTCTTTCCCTTTAGTAAAGATGCATTCATGTAATAATGACCTGGCACATAGACTTGATGAAAGGCAGAGACTTTTAGCAATGGTACCCATGTCACATGCAGTCAGACAGAACTACAGAAATTTAAAATACAGTGGAGCTATCAAATTTACGAGGCATCACAAACCATTCCTGTGCTTAATTTTAACAGAAAGCACCTTTGAATCATAGGTTGCAGAAAGAGTATCAAACCTCAGCAATTTTGTCAGAAGAAAAATTGTTTCAGGAAGTATCATCTACTGGTTGCATGTCTTTCCATTTTGCCCAATCTCTATTTCTTAAAATCAAGAAAAAAAATCAAGCACTTGCTCTTGAGTTTTTATTTGTATAGCTATGCCAACCAGAATAACATCAAGTTATTTAAATAATGAATGACATAAAATAGCATGCAAAAATGTTTGCTGTTATCTAGTAGGCAGGAAATCAACACAAAACATATCTAAATTAGCTGATTTTGTTTCTGTGGCATTTCTGGGCTACTAAATATTAATTCAACTCCTGCATGCTCTTTTTCTTTTCCATAGGAAAGCATGATGATTATTATCACAGACTGTTCCATAGAGAAATAATTAGCCTTGTATTAAGGAGATGGTCTCATTAAAGGCTCACAGTGACCTCGATCTGAATTTCAGAGTTACAGCATCATTAATAGTGTTGTTTGCATCATCTACAAATTAAGTTCTGAAAACCTTATGAATATAACCCATACAAATTCTAGAACATCATAGCTTTGACCATTATTATCCAAAAGCCATATTCTCTGTTGCTTGGTATTGTGTAAAATTTCTTTATTTATACCCAGATGTTTTTGGTAACTGAAAAATGGTGATGACGATGCAACAAATTTGTTTCCACTTTTTCTACTGGTAAATTTTAACCAGTATATCTGGCAAAGCTGGTAGCATAAGAAAGAGCAAGGTTAATGGCAGATTTTGAATATGAAATTTAAATTACATGCTGGTTTTTGCAAACATTCTCTCTACTGTAATGATTCAGAATTATTTGGAAAAGAAACAAAAAACATGACACTGCACCATCAGATACTGTTCTCTGCAAGTGATTTTGAGAAAACAGGAACTGACTAACTCACTGTTGAAACTTTCAAGAGACAGACTACTAACTGCTTTCACAAATCAGGATAATTCAAGTAAGCATGTACTATCCTTTTCAATCATATCACACACTTACTTTGATGATGCCCATCCCCATCAGCTGATCATATCAGCTGTGCACTATTAGATCTTGTCAGATTAAGACCTTACCTGACTGCAGCAAGGAATTTTGCTGTTGACTCAACCCTGAGATATATATGAGAACTAGGTACAGATATACCAGAGGACTTGGGACTCAGCACCACAGAAAGTAATTTATTTTTCTGTTGTGATAAAGCATGACAAAAAAATTGCAGCTATGGTCCCTGTGTGAGCGCAGTCATCTCAAGTCTAACAAAGGGAACGATGACTAAATTCTGCTGATTTCTTATCTGAATGGCATATTGAGAAGAAAGAAATACATATTTGAGATAAGAAAAATCTGTCTGGTAGAAAGACAGAACAACCAAGATGAGGAAATGGGCTGGAGGAAGCAGAATTTCAAGGGCATTATAAATAAATTAATGCCTTTAGATGAAAAGTTACCATTCTCAAAGACAACTGCACCAACCTGCTGAATTATATGTGATTTTTTCAGTTGCTATCTTTGGTTCGTACCTGCTGAGCAGAAGATAAAGATGAAGATTGTTAAATCATGGGTGTGAAGATTTTTAAAGTTTGAATCAATATCAGGACACTTACCTTACTTCTCAAAGTCATAAGGAAAAAATCCTTACCTTGTCACACCTTCAGTGTTCTGAAACAACAGGGCCATTAAGAATGAAGGCTTTCCATGGTGAAGAGATGAATAAATCTACTCGTCATACCTATCTATCAAGTAGTCAAATATGATCTCTATTAAACCTTATTTTTATTGAATCAAATCTG